TTCTCAACGCCTGTTACCGGGGCTGCCGGCTGTTCTCCATCTGTCACTTTGTGGATGCGGACGCTGAGCTGAACACAACCAGAGCCGAGTGTGAAGCAGGTGAGGAGCCGGTGCCCGAGTGGCCCCCGCACCCCAAATACTGTCCCGGGGGGGTTCCCCATGTACCACCGGCACCATCGCGACCGTCCTGCCTCCCCTCAGCCCCACGCTGTGCCCCAGACCCTGCTGCAAACCAAGCAGGGTGCAGATTTACACCCACTGGGTGTAAAGCAGGAGGGATAGGGATGTCCTGGGGGTGTGGGGCTCATCAGGGGCACTGAGGACCCCCTAATCCTGACATCCCCCCCCTCCTGCCTCGCAGCGTGCGCCGAAGCCTACAGCAACGCAGAGGAGCAGTTTGGCTGCGTGACGGGGTGCCGCAAGCAGCTGCCCGAGGTGGAGAGCAGGAAGGAGAAGGTGAGGGGCAGGGAAAATGGGGAGCCCCGGTTCCCCCCCTTAACCCACCCAGACTGTCCCCGGTGCCACCAGCCATGGCTCTGCCCCGTCCCTGCGTCTGTCTCCTTCCCCAAAGGGTCTGTGGGCAAGGAGGTGACAGGGGCTGGATGTGCCCCCCGCCCAGGGCACTGCGGCTGCTCCGTCCCTGTGCCATCACCCCGTGGGACTGCCGGGGACCGGCCAGGGAAGGCATTCGCCTCCGCAAGGAGCCTGGAGCCATGGGGTTGTCCTCAGGGTGGCTTCTCCGGCCACTTCAGCCCTTGCGTGACCCCCAGCGTGGGGACATGGGGTGTCTCAGTCATCCTGGGTGTGGCAGGGACCAAAGTTTGTCCCGCTGCCGGGCAGAGCAGGCAACGCTGATGTGATGGAGGCCACTGCCACACTGCTGAGCCCATCAGCCATGCTCTGCCTGGGACCCCATGGGAGGATGCTGGGACACGGTGGCTTGGCTCTCAGTCCCGCTTTAGGGCAGACCCCTCCCTCCCATGGGAGCTCAGCCCGGTGCCTCCTCAGCCAAGGGATGGAGGCTATAGCACCCCACACATGCAGCCCATCCCTCCATCCTTCCATCCATCCCTCCATCCCTCCATCCTTCCATCCTTCCTTCCATCCATCCATCCCTCCATCCATCCTTCCATCCTCCCTTCCATCCATCCATCCCTCCCTCCATCCATCCTTCCATCCTTCCCTCCACCCATCCATCCCTCCATCTATCTCTCCATCCCTCCCTCCATCCATCTTCCAACCCTTCATCCCTCCCCCTCTCCATCCCTCCCTCCCTCCCTCCCTCCCTCTCTCCATCCCTCCTTCCATCCATCCATCCCTCCATCGCTCCATCCCTCCCTCCTTCCATGTCTCCATCCATCCATCCATCATCCCTCCCTCCCTCCATCCATCCATCCCCCACTGCTCCCAAACCAAAAGGGCCAGCTGGGAAAAGTGATGCTGATCCTCACTGCCTCCT